AGGGAATAAAAATTTAAAAATAAATAAATTTATAACGGATGGATGGAAGGAAGGAAAATTTCCAAAAAAATAATTTTTAGGTCGTTTTTTAGGGATTATAAATTTTTGCAAGAAGGTGAAAGAAAATCAATGATACCCTGTATGTTTCACTAATATGTCTATGACCATAAATTATGTTTATGTTATTCGTCTGAAAAAAGTTTCAAATTTATTATGTTTACCAAAAAAATAAAATAAAATAAATAAAATAAAATAATTCAATTGTGAAAATGTGTGGTTGCGGTGAGAGTTTTCCACTTTACCGGATTCGGTTATATATATAATTTAAAAAAATTTGTTATACCATAACAGTAAACCTGTTTTTAAATAACATTTGCCGAAGGGGAGGATTTGATTTGTTTTCTGCGAAATTTATTTACGAAAACGGCAAATCTTTTTTTTTTTTAGAGCGCCCTCCTCCTCGTGGGATGAAATTTTGTTATTCAATTCGTTACCGAAAAAATTAAATTAAATTTTTAATAATAATAATAATAAATATTAGTTAAATTTACGGGGGTACGTGATAAGTGAATTTTTGTTTAGTATAAATGCCTACAAAATCGAACAATAAAAAAAAAATTTTTTTAAAAGGGGATTTAAATATTATTTTTACGGGGATTCAAATTATTTTTTTGGGGATTTAAATCTGTTTCAACGGATTTTCGCCTTATTAACAAATTTCTTTCTTTTTTGGCAAAAAAAATTGCATAAATTTCACGTGTTAATAATTATACCCTCTTTTTTTTTTTTTTTTTTTTTTTAATAGGAAAAATGATTTGAATTTCGCAACAAAAGTTTTTTTTTTTATTTAGCTTTGTGACTTTTAACAATACCTGCATTGTCTTTCCATTTCATACACACACACACAAACACACGCACGAACGCACGCACGCGTTTTTTTTTTTTTCTTTGTAATAAATTTTAACCTGTTTTACCTTAATAATGAAAACATGAACGGGGGTCTCTCCCCGACTCCTCCCTTTCTGTAAATTTTTTTTTACCGTTGTTTTCAAAGTCTGATAATTATTATTATTTTTTATTTTTTTTTTTTTTTTACGCAAAGTTGAAGTCGTCGAATAATACAAGTTACCGGAAATGAACGATGGCATCGTAATTTATTTAATAATGTTAATAAAAAATTTGATTCGAACGTTTTTCGTTTTAACTCGGTTTAAAAGTATTATTATTATTACTTTTTCTCTCTCTCTCTCTCTCTCTCTTCATATCGGGGAACTCGGTACGAGTTGCGATCAATGTTACGGTCAATGATTTACCTCACATATGAAAAAAAAAAAAAAAAAAGAAAAGAGAGAGAAAAACTAACAACCTGTGAAAAAAATAAATAATAATAATAATAATAATAAATTGAAATTTAAAATCAACATGGCGTCTAATTAAATTTTATTTATTTATTTATTTGAAATTTTCTCGTTTGAAGTTAATTTCCATATGTATCAATTTAAAATGGGAGTCAGGTGTTTCTTTATTCTATATAAGTTTACGTCAAGGAAAAATTTTTTTTTTTTTTTTTCTCACTTTATCATGGGTGTCAAAGGTCAGATTCGAATTGCGAAATCTCACGCATAATTAAATAATTTTTTTTTCGATAATCCTGCGTTGATGATATTTTTTACAACGTTTGTTCTCGAAAAAATTAAAAAAAAAAACCAGCGGGTCGTTGGATTATTGAACTGGGTCGTTTCAACCCATTTCCGGGGTCATCGGGGTGAATCAAAAGTCGTTATAATAATTTTCCATGCGTGAAAAATGTGTATGTGTCGTACAAATTTATTATTTATTTATTTTTTTCCATTTTGTCTTATTCGTAAATTTGTTTTTGTGTAAAATTGACCGCAAAAATGTTTTTTCATTTAATGAATGAATGAAATCTTATTACGTAATTTTTATATCATAAAGATCAGTCGAATCGAAAATGATAATAATAATTGAGTTTTTTTTTTAAATTTTAAATAAGATGTAAGATTTATTTTATTTAAATTTGCTTTTTAATAATATTTAATTATCATGACGATTAATTAATACAAATTTAAAATATGTTTTATGTGTGTGTGTGTGGGTGGGAGTGTTTGAAATAAGGCAAAGAACATTTATTTAATTCTCAATTATACGGCATTAGATCATCATCGAATTCTCCCCCCCCCTCTCTCTCTCTATTTGAATGAAAATTTCAATGGTTACATATATACATATTTTTTTAAATTAAAGTCATTTAATGTATAGTTTAATTTAAATTTTTTTTGTTAAATTTGATTTAATCGGGGAGGTGTTAAATTGATTTACGAGTGTGTAATTCGTGTATGTAATTTTTTTTTTAATTAATTAATTAATTAATTTTTGTGTATAGATTTTTATGTTAAAATATTTTTAATCGTATAACAACAGATTTTTTCTCGTCGTTATAATTTTTTACATTTTTGTTTTTAAAAAAATTTTCTTTTTAATAATTAATTAATTAATTAAAAAAATTGGGTTAAGGTTAATTGCCGCGAAAAAGAAAAAAAAAAAAAAAGAAAAAAGAAAATTAGCATAATAAACTATTTGAATTTTTTTAAAATTTGCACGTTCGAAATGTGTTTGCCATCTCTTTTCTGCTCAAAAGGCTTTATTTAAAAAAAAAAAGGGGGGGGAGGGGGAGGGAAACAAGAAAATTAATTACGAAAATTATGTTAAAAATAATATGAGTGAAAGTGTAATTGTATGCACTAAACTTGAAATGATGAGCCAATAGTTGGCACTTTTGTTAAATGAATAACCCCCCCACTCGCACCCCGCCCCCCGCCCCCCATCCAGCCCTCGAATCGTCAACCCATCAACTTTTCACTCCATTAAAAAAAAAAAAAAAAAAATTACAAGTCTGAACACTTAAAGTACTTGAAATTTCCCTTTTTTCATCTTCCGATGAACATTTTTCGCTAATTAATATAATACTTTTACTTTCGTTTAATTAATTTTTTAATAGACTTTCAATTAATTAATTTTTTCTTTTGTCTGGTTTATTTTAAAAACAAAAATTTCTTTCGATTCATTATTATTATTATTATTATTATTATTGTCAATTCATTATGCGTTTGTGGCCGCTGAAAAAATACTTTTTTTTTTAAAAGATTTGTTTCATTTTGCAGTATGAAGTTGGATAAACTATAATAAAACGTTATTTTCTAAAAAAAAAAAAAAAAAAAGCGTGCATTCGCCTTGAAAGAGTTTAAAAAGTGTATAAAAAAAATAATAATAATGATAATAATAAAAATGAGTTAAATTGATATATCCAGATCGCGTGTATACGCCTACATATGTGAATTTAAACATGGTTTTGTTAAAACTATGGTTTTTTCAAATAACTTTTGTTATAACAAAAACAAAACAAAAATTACACAAATTAATTTCGATTGTTTAATAAGAAAATTTTTTTTTTTTTTTTTTTTTAGAGGAATAAACACGGAAATGTATCCAGTCTACCGGTCCGAATACCAAGAAAAATAACGGAAATTGGATTGACCGCGAAGAGATCGCAGACAGGATGTTCAAACAGTATGGAAAACACGAACCCATTTCCCCGCGATCAAACTGGACTATCCCGAAACCGATTAGGTAACAGAATAAAAAAACCCGTCGTTTTAGGCGAAATGATTAGACAAAATAAAATGGCCGTCAAACCGTTGCTTGCTAGAAATAGGAAAGAAATAGAAATATCAAAATCGGTACCCGATTTAACTCGATATCCGCGAGTGAGTCGATTAAAAATTTCTTCTTCTACCGCTGTAACTGTTTCTAATAATAATTTATTAAAAATTAACTCGTGGGAAAGCATGGCGACAGCGAGGAAAAATTCTGGGGACAGTACATTTAATCACAGTCGAATTCCCAGAAGATCCGTTGCCGCGAACAAATTAAAATCTTTCGAGTCAAACGAAAAAATATTTAAAAAACCCAAAAAAATAGAAATGGGAAAAAAAATTATGGAAAAAAATTTCGTCGGTAAAACCATGGAAAATAAAAGGAAGTTTGCTTGCATAGAAGGGATATCGGGAAATTCGAAGAAAAGCATCATGGAAAGTGAAAAACAATCTCCGTCAAATTACAATTTTAACCTTTCGATGAATAATAGAACGGAGGAATGTAAGAAAATAGTCAAGAGAATAATGCTGGATAAGAAAATGTTGGAAATCGGGGAAAAGGAAAGGAGTTCCGTGGATTTTGTTGAAAATTCTGCCGGAATACTCAACACGGAAGAAATGGCGGATTTTTTGTTAAACGATTTGCAATTTAAACACATTGACTCTAGTAAAACTTCGAATGAACTCGATAAATCGAGCAAAAGAAATTCAAGTGAATTTGATGATTCCATCGGTTCCTTTTTCTCGGATCAAACGGTTATAAATATTCTCAAGTCGACGGAAATATTAAATTTGTGCGATTCGAAACAGGATTTTTTAATTGATAATCCTTTAGACGTAAGTATATCGGAGGATAATTTAACACCCGGTTTGACGAATTTAAGTAATTCAATTGATAGAACTCCGTCTGCGGAGGAATTGCCCATGGAATGCGAAATGGAACCGGTTTCGGGTAATTCTACGGTTTGCGCTAGATCGACGAGTCCGTCTGAAGAAGTACCCCAAGAGTCGTTATCCTCGAGAGCGACGAATCCTACTGTTAGCATAATTACAAGCATTACTAGCATTATGTCATTAGACACGGGTTATCAGGGCGACGGAGAATTATCCAGGCCCGAGAGCAGAAACACTGAAAACGAATCGAAACACATAAAACTTCCGATAACCGAAAATGGTATATCCATAAAAGGTATTAATTTTGACGATGGGAAAACAATGACGGATTCGGATTTTTTCACCGAAAGCGATGCCGATATACACGACGATTTGTCTTTGGCGGCTGCTGAAATCGGTTCGGGGAGAGGTGATAGAAAAGCACAAGTCATCGATGGAACTCTTTACGGCGGAGTATCAATTCAAAATCACGCTGTCGTTAATACGGATAACGAGAGAAATGACGTCGTGACAAGTCATTTGGTTAATCGGTCCGTTACGACTAACGAGGACATGGAATCGAGTGGGATTTATTCAGATTTTGAAAAAAAAACCGAAGAAAATTGCCCACCTAAAACGGAATCCGTTTCTTATTTGGAAATGATAACAGAGCAAATGAAAACGATACAGAATCTTGCTCTCGCTTCGGCGGAAAAAAAATCCCAGCAAGATTCTTCGACGGATCGCATAGTCAAATCAAGCAGCGGGGAATCGTCGAAAACCGTTTACGAAAACACGTCTGTTGTAACTTCCGCTAAAAAAAGTAGCAAAGGAGGAGATTACGCCGCGACGGAGCGTAAAGAGTCTACACCTACTACTAAAGTATCCAGAATGCCGAATAGAAACGTACCCTCGAAAATAAAATCTTTCATCGAAGCAGCACCGGTCACGGAAGTAGAGGGAAAAACCAAAGTTGTGAAAAAGGGAAAATGGGATGATGTCATGGATAAAATAGCACAGGGAAAAGAGGAGAATAAATATACGCCGTCGAAATTTCGGGATGTCAAGAGTAAAGTTTTTCAAAATATCGGACCGTCGTACAACAGCAGGAGGAGCGAAGTGGATACAAAAACGCCGCCGAAAATGTCGCCGATTTCACAAATAAAACCGAGAAGGTTGGTTGGTTTACTGTTTCTATTATAAAAACTATTTGTTTTGCTGTGGGAAAGCTAAAGGTGATCGGATTAAGTAGTTAAGGTTGCATGCATGTACACATTATCGTTCCTTTTCTTTTCGGTGTACTTTTTTGCTGTTGTTGTCGGTATACCATTTTTTTCATACCCAAATCATAAATAATTATTGTCAAATTCATTGTTTTTATTAATTAATTATTTATTTATTACAAATTAATAATAATAACAACATTGAAATCGTCGTCGTACGCGAATAGTGGCCGATATGATAATTTAAAAAAATATTCATAGAGTAAATAAATAATCGAACGGTTGTTTATTTTTTACGTTTGTTTTCGTGCGTTTTTTTTTATATTTTTATTATTATTATTTATTTGTGTTTTTTTAACGTAAAAAAAAAAAAAAATTTTTAACGTTTATTAAAATATGATTTAATTTTGTGTTATGGTACAAAAATCAACATGTACCATAATTAAAACGTGAGAATTTGTTTGCACATGTTTGTTTGTTTGTTTTACACGTAGGAGGATCGGGAAAATTTTTTTTTTTAACCGTTTGTTATTAATGGGTAAAAATGTCGTTGCACGATTTTCAAAATGTAAATCAGCTAAATATTTTTTGAATATTATTTTTAGGTTTGTTTGTTTTGTGTTTGTTATTATTATTATTATTATCATCATTTCGATTTTTAATATAGATTTTAACTTGTGTGTTTGATGTATATATGTTTAATAAAAAAAATGTGGACAAACACTTTATAATTGGTTGCGGTATTTTATTGTAAATAGCGTAGTAGAGTATTTTTGTTTGTAGTGTACGTAATTTACGTTGATTTTAATATTATTATTATTATTATTATTATTATTTTCAGCCGACGAAGTACTCGAATACGAAGTTCGGAATCGTCATTGGTATCGCCAAAATCTAAACAATCGAGAACATCATTGTCACCAAATAGTTCTCAAAGGAGTTCTCTGAGTGATATAAGCCTCACGGGAAATTCTCATCAAAAATCTGCTACCCGTAAGTCTTGCACACATACACTATTTTATTTTTTTACGGGTACTACTTTACTAAAAAAAAAAAAAAAATACTTTCTCGGGTAATCTACCACCTTGTTTTTAAAAAAAGAAAGATTTTACAAAATGACAATTTTGTGTCTGTACCTGTTTGGTTTGACCTTGTTGTAAATGACGGTGGTAAATGTTATGGTAAAATTACGTAAATTTGTAGAAGGTTTTTCCTCCTCTCTTTAGGTCAACTACATACTTGAAAACTTTTAAGTTTAATTGGTGTCGTGGGGTGGGGGGGTGGGAAAGGGGAAAATTAATAAATTTTTAATTGAAACATTTATTTATTAAAAAAAAAATTTTAAAGGGCGCTCACTACTCATTGCGCATTTAAAAATGCAATATTAATAACATATAAATAAATTATGCGTTATTAGAAATTATTTTTTAATGCGAATGGGCAAAGGATCGAGTTGGGATGTTAAAAAAAAAAAAAAAAAATAAATCTCCGGGTATTTTTTTAAAAATGTCAAGGGCAAGTAGCCGGATAAAATTTTTTTTTTTTTTCTCTCTCTCTCATCGAATAATACAAAAAAAAAAAAAAAAAAAAAAAACCGGGAAAATTCGAATGCTCTTAATAAATATTGACACGCTTAATAAAAAAAATTTAATTAATAAAAAACGTTCATTTAAATTAATAATGAAACTTTATGAATTGGGGTTACGAAATCGAAAATCGTTATTTGGTTTTTTTTTTATTTTTTTTTAACACTTTAATCTCGCGTAATTTTTTTTTTTTTTCATGTTTTAATTTTTCGACCACACACGTGCACACGCGTACGCACGTGCACACGCGCACGTGCGTAAACGAAAAGTAAATAAATAATTTTCGTGCGCAAAAAAAAATTTTTTTTTTTTTTTTTTAAGCGGTACGCCTTAAAATTGGCGTTTATGCAATTTGTATTAAAAAAATCTAATCACGATTTTGAAGGCGCAAGTTGAAAACGTTTGTGTTTGCATGCATGTAAAATGTTTGTTTGTACGTTTGTACGTTTGTTTGTTTGTTGACGATGTACAAGGTTAGAAAATTATATACATCCGGTGAAAAGGATTTTAAATGACAAGTATTCGGTCACAGAAACAAATGTAATAATTATTTTTTATTATTATTTATTTATTTTGATTTCCTTGCAAGAAATTCAAGCGGGGGAAAAAAATTACCGTTCTTTTTATTATTATTATTATTATTATTATTAAACCTGAAATATTTATAATAAATTTAAAGTAAATTTTATACAAAACGCGTCGCGTCGTAGTCGTCGTCGTCGTCAGGTTAATGTAACCTTCAAAAAAAATTTTTATTTAAAAATTTTCCATCGCAAACGACATCGGCAGGTGCAAATTAATTAAATAAAAAAAAAAAATTTTTTTTTTCTTATAAGCCAAATACGTAATGAAAAAAATTTTATTATTATTATTATTATTATCATTATTTAAATAATTTCCATTAGTTTAACGATTCGATAAAATCCGTAAGAAAAACCGGTTTTTGGTTATTTAAAATAATGGGGGAAAACACATTTGAAAAAATTTTTTTTTTTTTTTTTTTTAATCAGAAATTTTGTGATTTCGTGTAGATTAAATTTAAATTTAAATTTAAATTTAAATTTAAATTTGTTTTTAAAACGACAAAGTCGTCAACATGTTTTTACATGAATTAAAAAAAAAAAAAAAGAGTTGATTGATTAAATAATAACGGTTTTGTGACGGTTTTGACGGCATTTATTCCATCGAATTAAGTTTTTTAACTGACTTCTTTATTTATGAAAAAAAAAAAAAAAAAAAATGTCGTCGTTGCGTTAGTATAGAAAAAAGTTGCCGAAACGCGTTTTTTTTTTTTTTTTTCGTTTAACTTATAATTGTTTTGACAGTTTCCTTTGTCGATACAATTTATCGCAGGGGGCACGCACGCACGCACACGCACGCACACACACACACATATTTATTCCGTACGAGTTTTGACGGTCAGTAACCAATTGTAAAACTTTTTTTTTTTTTGCGCTCGTCTGTGGCCATACTTATGACAACGACCACTTTGATGAAAAAAAAAAAAAAAAACTCAGATAGAATAAATGAATATGGCCGAGTTCAAGTGTTGCGTTAAAATGGCGGATTTCGGCCGGTCGGTTAAAAAAAAAAAAACCTTCCTGTTTATTATTATCATTATTAAAATTATATTTGGCCGTGGCGGTTCGTTCCTTCGTATCGAGTCTTTATAAATTTTTTTTTTTTTTTTTTCTCGAAGGTGTTGTTGGTTTTTAAATCGCGAGTGTTGAAAAACTAGTTATTATTATTATTATTATTATTATTATCATTTGTTAAAATTAAATTGTGGGATGTGTCGTTATTTAAAAGTTTTTTTTCTTACCGAAAGTAATTTTCTAGCAATCGAGTGTTGATGATTATGACAAAATTTATTTTTAATTTCATTTTAACCTAGCAGAAGGTTTTTAATTATTTGTTTTTAATTATTTTTTTTTTTCCACGCGTGGAAATATTTGTTCGAAATGCTTTTCCGATACGCACGCGCACGCACACGCACACACGCACAATGTCATTGTTTAAAAGTTGATTTGCCTAATACGGTATAACAAAAAATTTAATTAATTAATTAATTAAGTGGTTATATTCACCGTTCGTAATTATTATTATTAACAAATAATAATAATAATAATAATAATAATAATAATGAAAATTCCATCGAGAAAATAACAATAGGAATGGGGGGGGAGGGGAGGAAAACATGGCAGATTTATTATTTGATTGCTCTTTTGTAAAAAAAAAAAAAAATAATAATAATAATTATGACGTTGCAAAGTTATTTTGCTTTTGTCGTATTATTTCCCCGTAAATTTTTTTTTTTTTTTAAGGGCAAAAATAATTTATCGATTATAAAATCAAAGGTATCGATCGATGGATCGATCGATTTATCGATCAATCGATTACGATTGGTGTTAATTGAGAATCTCTACAAAATATTAATAAAAATCGAATTAACGCTTAAAAGTCGGTTTAATTATTTTTAATCTTTGGCTGCGAATTCATTATGATTTTTTTTTTTTTAAGAAAATATTAATAATAATAATATGAGTGAACATTTACGATTACATAACTAAACGTGTGTGTGTGTGTTGTTGTTTATACAATAAATCAAAATGGTGGGTTTTTAAATAATGATCCCACGTTTTTTTTTTTTTTTTTTTTTTTTTTAGATCAGTTTTGGCATGTTTCCTTGACGATCCTTTACGAATGTATCGTCGTGTGCGCGAATACAATAAAAAAGATTACTTGGGATTACTTATATATATTAATCCACGTGATTTTATATCAAGGATTATCCTTCTCCTAGGATTATCCTTCTCCTAGGATTATCCTACTATTTGGTTCTGTTTGTTCGATACATTTATTACAATTTGCCATAATTACTAAAATATATGTTGCGGGGTGCGGGGGAACGGAGGGAGGGAGGTAGGGGGAAAGGGAAAAGGGGGAAATTCGTTTTTTCATCTTTTACAATAAATAGAGAATGAAATAAATTAAAAGCTTTCGGTTTTTCGTATTTCTTTCTTTTTTTTTTTCTTTCTACTTTTATTTTGTGTGTTTTGTGCCAAGAACGTGCCAATATTGACCGTCATTCACTTGAATTTTTTGGCAGGGTAAAGATGGCCAATTTTTACAAATTTTATTTTCCGTCGTTTTTTTTTTTTTTTTTTTTTTTTTTTTTTTGTTAACGGAAAAATGATTTTATTTAATTGAAATAGTTTGGGGGGTTTAGTGTAACCATAAGTAAATACAATGAGGTGTTTTCCCTCCCTCCTCCCTCCCTCCCTGCCCCCCCTTTTTAACGAAGTTTAGTCAAAGTATTTGAGAATGAAAAAAAAAAATTTTTTATTCATTATTTTTTTGAAAATACGTAAAACTCGTAGACATTTTAGTTTTCAAACGATGTCGATAACGTTTCATTTATTTCTCTCTCTCTCTCTCTCTTACATAAGGTTTAATTCACATTCTCTCTCTCTCTCTCTCTCTCTCTCTCTCTTACATAAGGTTTAATTCACATTCTCTCTCTCTCTCTCTCTCTCTCTCTCTCTCTCTTACATAAGGTTTAATTCACATTCTCTCTCTCTCTCTTTCTCTTCGATATCATTGTTTTTAATGAACGAAAAAAAAGAAAAAAAAAATTGGTAAAAGTCAGAAAAAAAAAATTTTTTTCTCGTTCGTCTAGATTATTTAATATTATTATTATTATTATTATTATTATTATTATTATTATTATTATTATTATTATTATTATTATTATTATTATTATTATTATTATTATTATTATTATTATTATTATTATTATTATTATTATTATTATTATTTTTGTGTCGAATGTTTAAAAAAAAATTTAGTTTCCAGATGATGTGTTTTTATTGCTTTCATATAGAGTCATGTTTAAAAAAAAACTTTTTTTTTAATAATAATTTTATTAAAATTTGTTAAAATTCTATTAGTGAAAGTTATTGTAGTAGTAGTGGTAGTGGTGGTAGTGGTAGTAGTAGTAGTAGTAGTGAATGATTTAAAATTAAAATAGATTTTTTTTCTTTCTCTCTCTCTCTCTCTCATACATAATTTGCTTTCTTTTTTTAAAAAAATATTAAATTTCAAACAAATTTAAAATTCGATAAATGGTTTAAAAAAAAAAAAAAAAAATGAAATCGAATCGCATTATGGTAATTTATAATATTTTTAAAATAATAATAATAATAATAATAATTGTTAAAACGAGGTTAATTTCGTTTTTATCGTTCACAAAAGATTTTTAAATTGTTTAAAACAAAAACAATCAATAAAAAAAAAATTGTTAAGCGAGTGAGTTATGATTGTGTGTGAAAATTTTTGTTTTAAAATGCATTGGGGGGGGATTGTGGGGTAAGGGGTTGTGGTGGGGGGATACCAAATTGTTTTTTTTTTAGTGACCTACGATTATAATTTCAATGACAGTAAAATTTGATGAATAAGAGAGGACGAGATTAATTTTCCACAACGGTTGAATAAAAAAAAATTTATTTATTTATTTTCTTTTTGGCTTTGATTCAGCGAGAGAGAGAGAGAGAGAGAGAGAGAGAGAGAGAGAGAGAAAGAGGGAGAGAGACAAGGAGAGAGAGAGATAGAGAGAGTAATTTTAATTTAATTATTCTGTTTGTTTTAATTTTAATTTCTTTTTTAAATAATAATTTTATTAAATTAATTTACTTGTTTGTTTTTTTTTAAAGAAAAAAATCATTTATAAGAATATTTTTTATGGGGGCCTGGGGGGAAGGGGGGGGAGTAAACGTCGTTCGAAACGGAATATTTAAAAAAAA